AAACAGCCTGAAATGGGCGCCAGGGCAGTGTGTGTCCCCACAGGCCCCTTCGTGTTGGCCTTGGTGGAGGATGAATGTGGCTGCCACCTCGGGGCAGTGAAATCACTTTTTTCCCTGCCATTGTGTCCTCCATCACCTCATCCCCTGCCATCTTGTCCCCCGCCACCTCATTCTCCACCATCTTGGCCTCCATGAGCTCGTCCCCTGCCATCTTGTCCCCTGCGGCCTCCCGTGAGGCGCCTTGATGACCACAACCCCCCCAGGGGACAACCCTGCATGTCCCCAACCGCGTTCCCATGGCCAGGGTGCTGCTTGGCGGCCGCTGGCGCCAAAGCGGCACTGGGCCTGGTCCACCCGCTCCTGTGGTGCTTCCCTGCCGTTATCCCGGGATCACCCGCAAATTCCTCCCTCCGCTCCCCAATCCCGGGCAGGTGCCGGGCCCTGTGCACGGCTGCACATCGGGCACGTTTTAAGCAGTTTCAAGCAGTTTTAGTGACGCTAGATGGTACTAGAGCTCCGCGAGGGGAGGCCGGAGCTCCGCGCGCCAAAGTGCCGGAAAACATGGAGATTGCGGAACACGGCAAGCTCGGGATGCAAAACTGCTGCTTATTGTATCACTGTTGGCAAAATACTTGTTTTTTTTTTTCCCAGGGGTACATCTGGATGGAGGAGCTGCAAATAAAATAAGGACACTCTCCTAGTGTTCAGTACTGCAAGTGTAACATAATATTTGTGGTTAAAAATTAGCGGCCAAGTATTACTGCATCTGGTAGTGAAGAATTTGAGGGCTAATTTCAGGATATTTATTTCATTACTAGAAATTAGTTCATAGTTCAGGGAAAAACATGCAGGTATTTTAAACAGAAATGGCCGTTAAATCGTAAAAGAAATGATGTACATGTCTGGTATTGTTACTTTTAAAAACAATTGAAACCACGCTCAACACACGATAACCTCTTCCTATAAGCAGCTGCATGCTGTGCCATGTGCTGCCTGAAATACTCATGTGTTAAAAAGAAAACTCTCTCTGCATTGAATTATTCCCTGAATAATCTTCAATGTCTTCATAGCTTTCGACACATTTGGGCAAAATGCTTCAAGTTTCCGAGCTTGCAGTGAAAAACCTGCATTTGACACCTGAATAGGTGGCCTGATTTCAGCTGTGCGGAGCACTTTTTTTGTAGACGTTGTTTCCTCCACGTTGCCTCTGTACCATGACAGCACTTTAGTGGCCTAGACCAACTCAGCACAGCAATTTAGGTGATGAAATGAAGTATTGAGATAGCAGGGAGAAATAATAAAGGCAGAGCTGGCGCTTGGCCAGGGTGACGTTCCTGCCGCTCGGCTCTCGGCCGCGGTCCGGGGAGATGAGCTTATGGCTAAATATGGTCAGGACTTCAGGGCTGCTTCTCGTCCAAAACGCAGCGACGCTGGTGTTTCCTCTCCTTCCAGATGAAGAGCTGGCGGCGGCCGCCTATTTTTAGTGGTGTGGGTGTAAAATATGTTGGACGGATTTCGCTGAGCTCAGTCTGCCCTGCCGGCTTTCGCACCCAGACGTAGCCGAGCTCGAGGTTGCCGCCGTGGGCTCCTGCCTCGTCGTCTGCATCCCGAAAAGCTGCTCCCCTTGCCCCGAGCCTGCTCTCTCACAGCTCCACGTCGCCATCCTCAAGCTTGCGGGAAATCCCAGACAAATGGGGAGATCCCATGCGGGGAATCCCAAGCAAAATGCAAAGCCATCTATAGGTCATAGAACACTTGCACTGAGACCTTTCAAACTCATTGTGGCATCCAGAGAATTGCCACAGTCTCAGCAAGAAGGCAGTGTCACTAAGACCAGTCACTGAGGTCCATATTTAGCCTAGTCAGGGTCTATTTGAAAGTGTTTATTAAGCTCAGAATGAAGAAATAGGCAGCTCTGCGCTTGCTAAAGCTGTTGCCGGCTGTTGGGGTCGAGGCAGCGGCTGGGCTGGCTCCCCCCTGCCGTGTTCCTGGGTTATTTTGCAGTGGAGCGGGTCCCAAACTGGGCCCACGTAGGTGCTTCCAGCCGGTGTGACAAAGTGACAAAGCAGCCTGTCCCAAGGCAGGGCATTAACTGCGACTCCGGCTACCGGGGATCGCGCTGCCGCGGGGCCAGGGCAACGTATTTCCAGCCACCAATTCCCGAGGAAAACTGGAATGTGTCTGTGACCGCAGCAGCAGAGCTGCAGAGCGAACAGACCATTAAAATGTCCATTCGAGAAAATATTCACATCCCATTTATATTTACTGCTGCTTCATTCTGTTGAAAGTCAAAGGCCCATTTGTACCCGATGAAAGGCTCAGGATAGATCAATTGGCTGGAAGGGGCTCTGAGGATTGCAACCTACAATTCCACGTGGACAAGCGCTAATCCATCAGTCTGCTGAGCCCAAACAAGGTGTCGCAGAGCCTTCCAGGCTGACTCCGGGCTCTTTCGCTTGCTTGGCCCAGAAAATGATGTTTGGTGCTAAAACTGTTAAAAAATTCCCATAACCGACCTTCTGGGAAAGGGCATGGGGGCTTTTCTAGCTACTTGGGGCGTCTCTGCAGCTCTATGGCCTCTGTTCTGGGCAAATTTCCGTGGTGACTTGCAGGTTCTCCTGCTGCTTTAATCTTTGGAGCGCAGATTGCAAAGGGTGACAAGGTGTCGTCTGCCGAGCGGGATCGGTTCTGCTTGGAGTTCACGAGGAAACAAAACTCACTTGGTTATAATGTGCCTACGAGGGAGTGACGGGCCCCACCGGTGTCCCCGTGTCCCTGTGCCACCCTACGGCTCCAAAATGCAGGGAGGGGTTGAGAAAACCCCTGTTGTGCTGTGAGGGGGGAAGGACACAGGGGAAAAGCCAGGAAAACCAGGAGCCGGGTGTTCCCTGCGTTCCCGGCGTTGGGAACGGCGCTCGGTGGAGGCCGGGCTGCGCGAGCGAGGGGGTTTGTGCGGTGACAGCCCCTCTGAGCGTGTCCCATGCGGCCCCACGGCCTCTGCTGTGCTCTGGTGCTAATTCCAGGCAGATCGAGGGCAGTTTGAAACCCCAAAGGTGGCAATTCCCTGGAAGCGGCGTGAAAGGGGGTAAATGTGCAAGAGAGAAATCTCTCTTCCTGCCTTCCCCGAGTTCCACCTTGATGGGAGACCTCCAATGGGGACACCGGTGACACAAGTGTTCCCGCTGTGTAAAAGCCTCGCTGGTATCTGTGCATATGGGACACCAGTGACTCCACTCGGGAGACGACGTGGCTTTGGGCGTCCAACCAGGTGGGAATTGCTGGGGTTAAGATATTCCTAAGGATTTTTCCCTCCTGGCTTCCCTGGGCTCTAAGGAAGGGCGAATACCCTCCGCAGCGCCAGCCCCATTGGGTTTAACAGCCCCCCGGGGTGCAGATCCACGGCAGACCGGGCTTCCCCGGGTCCAGCTCACGCAGCAACGTGGGTTTATTTGTGCTCGAAAGGAAACGGTGGCTCCTTCCCTCATCGTTTCTTTCCTTCCCCAAGACCAAATAAAGCCGGATCGGAGTCGCTGTGGCCGGATGGTTCCCGGGGTATTTCGGATACTGTGAAAACTCCGTGCTCTGCAGCGGGACAAGACAGGGCAGGAGAGCAGCAGGGCCCACTGGGGTGCAATGCCCGTGGGCTGCGGGGCCATGGGGATGCTCCTGACCCCGGCTCGGCGCCCGCTTTAAGGAACACATGGATCTGACCCGGCTTGGGAATCTGCTAGCGCCCTCCTCCCCACCGAACACGGAGCAAATCCCCTTCCCATTGCAGCCTCCTGGTGCGGAACTGAAATATTATCAGTGCTCTTTGACACTCTACCTGCCCCTCATCCCACCTGGCTCTCCACAAAACACATTTCCTCTGCTTTCAGGAAAAGAAAAAAGACATCGGGTTCATTCAAACCCTGACACTCCTCTAGCACTGGGGCGGTCAAGTCTCCTCCG